ATATAACTTTTACATATTATTAAATAAATAGATATATTTAATATTATGAGTTTTAAATAAATAAAAAGAGTCAATTATTTAAATAATATGTAATATTATATAAAAAATAATATAAAAATATTGCCTCTTAATTATTTTCCTAATTTGTTTGAGGACATGGTGCTTACGTGGTGCCAGGTAGGCACAACATAAGGCCAAAGTAGATTTCCGTTAGTTCCACGGATGGGATTTTAACAGGGTAGACCAAATTGATATATTTTTTAACGTTAATAGACTACTTAGGTATAAAAAATAATTAATAGACAAAACAGATAAAAAGAAAATAGTTAATAGACCATTTGTTAAATTAAGCCCTTATCATATTATAAAAAAATTTTAAATGTTAATAAATATTGAATCAAAACTTTTAAAATCTTTGGTATCCTCTTAAAATGAACATAAAATTTTAAATAAATATTTAATAGGCCTTTAAAATAAAGCTTATTATAGAGATTAGGCACCATTAAGTCTAACTATATATGTTCAATTTCTAACTTAATTTATTTCTGGCCTTCTTTATTAAGGCGAGAAATCGACCAGAAAAAGAGACAAGCCATGGTAAAGATCTGGAACATAAGTAGTGCTATGCTTAATTAACTGTAATTAACGTTATTTTAGTAAGATCTCTTTCAAAGATTATGCATGAAATGCAGTTGCTTTTTTATATAAAGGATATATGGCAAAATTTAAAAAGTATTTGTTTTAAAAGTAATTTTTTTTTCTCATAAATTTAAAATGTTGTAGGAAAAAAATTCAAAAATTAATTTTTAAAAGTGTTTTGAAGCAAGTTTGAAAAAAGCTATACATTTAAGTTTTCAATCTTCTCAACAAAGAACAAAAATAAAAAAAATGAAAATATCAAAACATTATGCAATACGATCGATTGTTATACGTATGGTGGTTTTCGAATCCAAATTATCATCGATATTGCATTCTCTATTGGTGGTTTCTAATTAAGTTATTATATATATTTGGTAACTTTAATTATATAATAATTTACTTTTATAATTCAACATTAATTACATTTTAATTATTATATATTTTACTTCAGTTCAGTCCGGTTTTATTAGAAACACATTCTACAATAACATTGAAAAGAAAAAAAAAAATAAAGAAATGCATTTAACTAATGATGAAGAAAAATAGAACAAATTAAAATTTAAATGAAAAAAATTTAGAAAATGAAAACATTAAAAGAAAAAATGAAAAATTCATAAAAATAAAAGAATAACAGATTTAAACTGAAGGGCGATATAGCTATTTGAAATATTTATTTGTAATGACTTTTTAGATTTATTAATTAAAAGCTAATTTTAATAATAAATAAATATTGGGGTTCGTGCTTGTCT